TCCATGTCACTGATAAAGATGTTGAAGAGATAAAGTATCACAAGTTGCTTCTAATTATTCACAGAAGCAGCAAGGTGATGAGGCCAGGCTTGTATGTGGGGAAGCAGGACGCAGGCTATAGGCAAGGCTGATGAATCCTTGGGTGTTGGGATGGTCTTGCTAATGTAAATGTAAAGCCAAAGCCAGAACTTGGTACATTTTTGTTCCAGGATGTGTGACAGAGGATACAGCTTCTGCTAATCCCCGCTGACCCCAAGAGAGAGGAAATAGACTCTGAAAAGCAAAGGGTTGTCTGTCCCTGTCCTGGAAATCTCACAGGAGCTTTGCTTTTCTGGCAAACCATGAGCCCTCTCCAGCTCAACATCTTCCAAACAACAACTTTTTTTTCTAAGTACCTTTTGCATCAGTAGCTACAAGGTTTAAAATTCTTCCTGGTCCTGCACAGGGTTTGACCCTGCCAGGGATCAACTGTGCTGGGGCTTTTTGATTAGTGTTGGGCACTGCTACATGTATAGCTGGGTGAGGAAATTTTGGGAGGTGACTCAGCAAACAGTTTGGATGAGCTCAAGCCCTCCTGACCTCTGCCTCTTGCTCTGAACATCCTGCCTAGCTAAAAGCTTCCTCATCCAGGGTGATGCATTTAGAGTAGCCACACGTTGCTGTCTGAGGGGAATGGATTTGTGTTGTACATAGCTGAGTGAAAAACCATTCAGGATGTGGCTTTCCCTTTTTTTTTTTCTCAGTAGCAGGAGATGATATTTCTGGACATCCATGATCTGTGTGGGAAGCAATGCACCTACAGCTCACAGCTAGTTAAAACCTGCAAGGCACAGCAGTTCCAGCTCATCTGCTGCACATTTAATGTCTTTGTCCAGGTATGTGGTAGTGCTTGAAGCCTGACAAACTACACACCTCATTCAAAGCACTGAGGTGATTCATTGTCCCACAGAAATTAATACCTCCAAGTCTTTCTCTTGAAATCACTTGCACATCAGAAGCTGTATTGTGGCTTAGGAACACCACTGGATTCCCAGAACAGCACAGCCCTGAGGTCACAGTTTTATCATTGCAGAAGATCTGGGAAAGAAACGTTTTGACCTGGCATCAGCTCAATGCTAAAATATGCCACCTTGGGGAGTGAAGAGAACCTCTTGGCATCTGTCAGCCTGTTCCCTGCTGTGTCCTAACCAGGCTGCTGGGTTGGCTTCTGGCTCATCCTAATGCCATAGAAGGAAAATCTTATTTTGGGGTATTGCCCTCTATTGTCAGTAGTTTTATGAATGCACATGGATTCTTTTGTTTCATTTGGCTACCTGAAAAGATGCTTCAAACCCTCCTGCCCTGAATGGCCAGTTTGCTCAAGGCCAAGCTTGGCTTTGTCCCCAAAGCTGGCATGAAGAGACAAACAAGCAGGGTCCCTCTGCTAGGAGCTGTTTCTGACCCAGTGATGGAGACATGACACATGCCAGAGAGCATGAGGGCTTTTGGACTTGTAAAACAACAGACTTCAAACTCAGGGAATCACACAAGGATGCACAGGATCTGTGTCCCATCCTGGGGCAGGACAGAGAGAGGCCAAGAATTAGCTTCTGCATTTCCACAGCAGGATTTCTCTGGGTCCACTTACAAGAGCTTTACCCATTATGAAAATATTGGCTCTTTCTGAGCATTTAGCAGCATGGTCAATACCCCCAGGTGGAAGTACAGCCCAGACAGCACAGAAATAATAATATAAGGGATGTGGAATGACTGTTGCAAATTCAGATGGGTCCAAATGTGCACCTACTTCTGCTGACAGGAGACGCGGGCCTCTGAGAGTATATGAAGCTCAAGAATAGGTAATTGGTAAAATAACTTCAGGAAACTGGATAAAAATGAGTTCCTGCCCAGTGTGATGCTCCCTAAGGCTTTTTCCCTCTGTTTTCTCTTTGATGAATCTCTCTGAAAGTTTGTGAGTGGGAGGCAAACACTTACAATGTGATATTTCCTGATGAATGCCTGCCCTGTAATCTGCATTACAGCAGGGGGAGGGATGCTGCTGGTGATCAGCAAGTGGAGTGGCTGGGCTGTAGACACATCTGAGTGAGGATGGTCCTTCTCCCCTGCTCAGACTGCAGTTTGGCCAGCATGTTAAAGCAGGTCAGGTCTGGGCAGGGAGACTGCAGCAGCAGCAGCAGCATTGGGAACAAAATCAGCCAGTTTCCCTAAGTGGAAATAAAAAACACCCCCCCAAAAAAAATCCATAAAAAACCCAGCAGTTGTGCCACTGTGTGAAATGAGCTCTGGTGTTCCCAACGCTTCCCAGGGCAGAACTGTGTGATGTCAGAGACACCCAGGGCCCACCCAGGACAGTTACCTAAGGGAACAAGCTGGCAGTTAGTTGAGTCAGGATGGATGATCCAACAGGGACATGTAGCCCCAGGGACACTGGATAACGAAGGGCTCTTTCATGGCTGAGGGATTGTGTAGCTGCCTGCAGTATGAAATCATCCTCTACAAGGCTCTGCCAGCTGCACGTGAAGTAACTTGCAAGCAGCTTTTAGGGAGGTATGGCTTGAAAGGTGTGTGACAAGTTAAATGCCCTGAATCCTTGAGAGTTCAGTGCCAAAACACTTCTCAGGAGCTTGATGAACATGCCTGATGACCTGCTAGGACAGGGCCCAGCAGATAAATGCTCTGGAACAAGAATATGTTGCCGTAGGGAAGCAGCACTAAGCTAATTACAGACTCACAGAATTGCCCAGATTGGAAAAGCCCTTTAAGCTCATCGAGTCCCACCATGAACCCAACACTGACAAGTCCCCAACTAACCCATGTCCCTCAGCACTATGTCTACACGACTTTTAAATCCCTCCAGGGATGGGGACTCCACCACTGCCCTGGGCAACCCCTTCCAATGCCTCAGAACCCTTTCAGCAAAGAAATTCTTCCTCACATCCCATCTCAACTGCCCTGGCCACAACTGGAGCCCATTTCCTCTTGGCCTGTCCCTTGGTCCTT